GGGCTTATGGGGGGATACAAAATGAATAAAGTGTAATTAATAAAAAAAGAAAAAAAAGAATTTTGGTTAAACACTATGCTTTCAGTTATCACATTCTGGTAATTACTATACTAACAACATTTACTACAAATCTAATCAACTTTTATTAATCATGTTTCAATTATAGCTAAATTCTCTTCAATTCTTATGTTTCAGAACCTGTAAATATATATACATATAGTCATATAATTATATTAATGTATGTAATATATAAATATATATATAACAAGTTAGGAAATGGTTATTAAAACTTACCCAATCTTATTTATCACCTTGAAGATAAAAACTAAGTAAATCCAAAGAATTTAGATAATTTGAGTTACACTATGATTTAAAAATAGTTAGATGTTTGGTCTCTTGGTTCCTTTACCAAGTGATTTCCCATGAAGGAAAATTCCCCATGAACCCTTAAAATCTAATAAAACAGTCTACTTAACTTCAGGTATAGTTCAGCCCTTTTGACTTCCCATGATTTTTTATGCCATCAGGATGGTTCTTATGAGAAAACAGAGCATCATTCCTGAAATTTTTCAGTGTGGCAAGGAAGACCCATTACCTTGCAATCTCATAAAAACTTCCTCTTGTACCAAAAAAGATTCCCATAAAATGTTAAGTAGACACACTTACCACATTGACAATGTCTGTTGAAGATATGCTTGCAATATAGGAAGAGGAGGCCAAGGAAAGCAAAGGAAAATACCACTAGCAGACTGCCCACCAGTGCAACAAGTGTGGCTTCCTTCGGAGGAATAGTGTGTGCATCTACCTTCACTAAGCTCAACTGGAAGGTACCTGTGAAACAACAACAACAACAACAACAAAACAATGGATGAGGTCACTGAAAATGGACAGTTAGAACTCATTTTGACAAGGGACGTGAAGTTGCTTATACCACATTTTCTGCTTTAGGTCATCTTACTTAGGGCTACTATGTTCTTATCTGAGGATAGATAAAGGGATAATGAATGAATTTATACCATGCCTGCTCATATGCTGCAAGCATGGTATAAACTAGCATGACTAACAAAAAGATGCTGCATTGTGGGTTCACTCATACTATGTTTAGTAATATAACCTAAAAATATAATTAAATTAAAATGCTCATCAGTAAAGACTGGATCAGTAAATCATAATTTTCCTAAGACATCATAAAAATCTTCCATTGAGTAATATAAATAATCCAGAGGAGAAAAAGTAAAGAAAGGATAGCTTGGTGACCTTTCTAGAAAATGTTATAAAACAAAAAGTAATAGCACATATTGTATAAGAATATGAATATACATAAATTAATACAAACATTTAAACAGTAATGGAGAATATGGCAGAGGAATATGCCCAGGAATTAACCATACACTCCCTGTATTCTTTACAACCTTATGGTAACGTTATCAGCAAACTCATGGCCAAGGAACTTTGAGTGGAAGTGATATGTGTCACTTCCATATTGAGCAAGTTAAGAGCTGTCACATCTTAACCACTTCCTTCTGTAACAAGGATCTGGACAATACCTGATCTAGCAAACACAGGCACATGATAGAAGCATGGATCTGTATATATACATATATATGATAGCCTAGCAAAAAACTTTATTGTTCAGAAAACTGTTTTTGTGGAGAAAAGGACAGAAGACTCAGAAAATATCTAAGAGAGAACTTTATACTGTCTGTTTTTTTTTTAAATGTGAAGAAAGTATACAAAAATTTAGGATTTATTATCTAAGAATCTCAGCTAATATAGGACTTTAGCTTATGCTAATACATATTTTTCAATAAACCTCTTTTATATGTCATTATTTTAAGAAATACACCAATAATTTAAAGAATATGTGAGCAGATAGACAGCAATTACAGGAAATCAGATAAATAAGTGTCTATTGACTTAGGCATAGACTATATTCTAGCTCCTTTTTTTCAGCTTCTGATATGGTCTAAAACCTAAGGATTTCCATATACCAGGTTTATTGAATATATTAACAATTAATAAGTGTAGAGATACTATTTTACAAATACATTGTACCATTCATTACTCCACCAAATATAGCCAAGTAGCTCACAAAATATGAAAAATATGTTTTCTCATTAGATACAGTTTTTATGAAAAGGAAAATGAGATCCAATGATCTGAATGCTGGAAAGTTGAGATTTAATCATAGGTGATTGCCTTTTCTCAATCAATACTCCAAAGGATGGAGTGCCAATGAGCATTTTCCTTCCACAAAAATAAAGAAGTCTATTGATTTTGTTGACAAACAGAGGTTTGGGGAAGAAGAGAGAAAAGTAGATACACACACTGAACCTCAGAAGAAGGAGTCTGCTTTGTACAAGGGATGCATTCTTGGTCCTGAAGGCCCCCAATGCGTGTCTTTCGGTAGAACCTGTGATCAGAGAAGAAGGGAATGGCAGAGTGGTGAAACAAGCAATTGACTTGTAACAGTCCTCCCTTCCTTGGATGATAGGGAATGTCTAAGAGTTTTTTTTTTTTTTCCATGGGAGGAAATACCTACGCTTGTGAGACCTCTGCCATGTGTGATTCAGTCCATCTTTTTCCTGATTCAACACATCTTATAGCTAAAAGGTCATGAGACAGGGAAGCAGTTTTATGATTCCAATTTCATGATTTCTGTGTAATCTATCTAAAGTGACATTTATTTTCAATTTTAGGCAGAATGTCACAGTGATTAAAATGTTTTTAAGTGCTCATCCGTGTTTTATAATTCCTGGATACTTTCTATAGTGAGATCTAGTTAGAAATATATGGATTTCTCACATGGAGCTTAAATAGAGCATGGTTTGGATAGTTAGAATACTTTTACTATGGTCTATGCGGTTGGATGACAAAGGACATGAAAGAATTAAAAGTCCCAGAGGGAATGATACTGAAAGAATCAGGCCCAACAGACCCCACTTCAAAAAGCCACCAACCCAAGAACTAGGCCATAGGTCACCAATTCCAGGAAGAAGGCAATGGAGTCCCCTGCCCAAGGAATAGCCTGGAGAATACCCAGTTTATTTAACTATCACCTCAAGCAACAGTTAATCAGTGAATATTGTCAGTGAGGGTGTGGTCTTGAGCTCAAGCTCGAAATAAAAAGACTCTACTACATTTGCATGAGAATTAGCTCCTCATTGTTCTTTTTGGTCCCTGAGACTTGGGCATAACATCTTGGGGACTCGTCCATGATTCTCAAGACACCCAGGAACACCCCCCCCCCGAACCAAAGGGTGGAGGACCTGCCAGTAAATGTCTTGTCTATGTCTGTTTGTCTGTGTCTGTCTCACTGTTCCTCTAGTTTCTGTGTCAGACCTTAAGACAAAGTATTTAATTTGTGTGGTCTGGAAAGGTTAGAGCAGATGCAGTGGACAACCATGAGCCACAGGGAGCCTGGAAGACATTCCAGACCCCTTTTGAGGGGACGGAAGTGTCCGCGAAATTCTGTAAGAGCTGATGGAGCACCTCCAGTTTTCTGTGATCTCTGGATCTCTGAATAAGGACAAGGTGGATAGCTCCCATGGCACGGCTGTACCACTGTAGTTGTCTGGTTCTGTGTATATCTTTCTGGTCAAATATCATGTATGTCACAGCCTCTTTTTAGTGACTAGGACTGACTAATGACATGGTAGACTCCTTCTAACCACATAGACTTAACTCTTGCCCATTTCAGGGAGGCTTGAACCATGTTCCACAGGCTCTGGTGATGGAAGTGGGGAGGAGGTACCAAGGGATTGCTATAGTATACAGAGCCCCAGAGTTGGCACTTCTGCCACTGCTCTGGTCTCTGGTCTGACAGAGCTTGGCCTATGTTCTGTTCTCTGGTCTGGCAGAGCTGCTGTTCTGAGTTTTCTTTTTTCTTCTTCTTCCTTCCTGTTTGTGCATGCTGTACCTGTACATTCATTTCTTGCATTGTGTGTGTGTGTGTGTGTGTATGTGTGTGTGTGTGTGTGTGTGTGTGTGTGTGTGTGTGTTTACTTGTGATGGTCTCTATAAGTCTGGTGACCAAATAGCTGTGCAGTACGGTGACATTGCCTGCCCCATGTACAAAGCGCTACAAGCTGGGGAATCCCTGGTCACTGGTGGGAAACAGCCAGGCTTGGGTAGGAAGCATGAGCTCATTTCCACCTGGGTGGTTGAGAAGATCCTGTTGGGGAAGATGGCTAGGGGAGGGATGGTATAGCCATCAACCATGGCGTGGAGCCATGTTCATCCCAAGAATTGCTGGCCCTGGGCAGCAGCTCTAGCCGAAATCATGGGGCAGAAGGAGCTTGTGCCACTGCAAAAAAAGCAGCTTGTAGAAGCCTGGCCTCAGGGAGAAAAAAATGGTGAGCTTCCACCATGGTGGTGCCCACTCCTCTTCCGTGAGTCAGCATGAGAGGGCAGAGGCGAGGAGGAAAACCAAGGAATGACTGCAGCATGTGGTGCCCTGGACAACACTGCTGGCAAGTTCCAAACACCTTCATAGATTCAAAAGATAACAAAGTGCTTGAAATACAGCTGAAGTAAGAAGAGTTTTGTCTGACTGTTTGAAATGCATGGATGGCCATGACATGTTTATTTCTGACTGACACTAAATGGTTAATATGCTCTATCTGTCTTGGTTATACATTAACAGTTATTGGTTATACATAAACAGTTATTGTTTAAAGTTTAAATTCAAAGTCTTGTTTAGAACATATGTATGAGTGCATATGTGTTAGTAACATATAGAAACACAAATGCTTTTAAATGGTAACCATGTGACTTGTCATGTGCTGTGATTCTGCCATCTTGAAATTGCCATGTGGTGTGGCATAGGGCAAAATATTAGAGAACCTCTTGGGTGTAATGAATTCTATTTATCATCTTATATTCTTTTAGACTAAGAAGACAAGTCTCATTTTAAATTGGTATTGATTTTAGAGACTGAACTGTTTACACTGGTAAAATTTGGTTTTGACATTTAAAATTTAAACTATGTTTTAAGGCTATGAAACATTTCAAAGTTTATCAGAAAATTTGTAATAATATCTATACAAATTATATATATATAATTATATATTATACATATATATATACACACATATATACATTTAATATATGTATATATTATATATACATATGTAATATTCTACATAATATAATATAATATATGTATATATATTATATATAATATGTTATATATGTGTGTGTATGTAGGTATGTATAAATCAGGATTGTGTTTTTGAGGTATTCTGTGTGATTCAACCCTGGTTTGTGAAGGTCTGTTTAGATATGAAGTATGTGCCTGGCTGCCAGTTCCTGAATGAATGGATTAATGCTATTTCTTTCTGGCCTATAGGTTTGGTATGGCCAGAACAGTTCAAGCACAGTTTAAAACTGTTTTTTACTGTTCTATTATGCAGTTTGTTCTAATACTTATTTGATTAAAATGTCAGAACTTGGTCACATGAAACTATAAATGCTCCACAGTTCTATACTTTGGGAGATGGCAACACCTGATGGCTATGTTTTAAATTGCCCGCCACAGCCTGTAACAACACGAGGATGGCCACCCTGTTGGTTCAGGGATGAAGAGGATGCAGCCATGGTTTTACTGCCATCTTTGTTGAGGCCTTCCAGCTCTGTTCAGTTCCCTGTTTAGTGCTGAGTGCAACTTCTGTCTTTTAACCTTGTTGCTGTTCAGTCTTAATAATGTGGTGTGGTAGGATCAGCAAGATTTGTCAGCCCCTCTATGAACTGTATGATTTCAAGTTTTGCTTTGATTTTAGTTCAGAAATATATTTAAAGTTATGCTAGTGACTGCAGTTGATTACAAGATTGAGCTATACCTAGTCTCTTGTTTATGGTTTCAAGGTTAAGCCTAAGATTGGTAACTACAAAGTTTGCCTATGTAGATCTACTAGAAATACGTATGGCTATAAAATGCTTAACTACAGACTATGCCAGAATTAGAGATTAAAACATTCTGTTTTGAGGGGATCCAAGATGGCGGCAATCAGCGTGCACCCTTTATGAAAAGCAAAGGAAGTTGAAACTCTGAAATGGTGAGTGGAGGCGCAACTGAAATAGGAAAATCCACATTGTGGCTCCCTGAAGGAGGAGGGACACCACAAGAGCAGAGAACCTTTTGATTCAGGTCAGAAGCAGACTTCTCTGTGAATGGAGAGGGGCACTTTCCTTCTTTGGGCCTCCCTCCCCCTCGGAGGAGCAGAGCCACAGCGCCAGATCTTGCTGTCTGAGAACCAAGACAGCAGAAGAAGGAATACTAGCACCGCAGCCCCAGCAACCAGCATCACTGATAGATGCTGTATAATCCTGCTTGGGACCCACTCTTGTGAGCTGCAGGTCTTATCAACTCCACAGAGCCTGAATCTACAAGCCGATCAGTCCCTCAGTGGTGGACAGCACAGCAGGCTTTGCAGCCACCAAAGTCCGGTGGACCTACAAAACCACCCAAGGGCACCAAGCACTGAGCCACAAGACTTCCCGGCAGGCACCTAGACATCCCGGTTCTGCAGCCACAACTGGATTCCCGGGTACAGTAGCTGCAACACCACTGAGGTGTCTGAGCGCACATTTGGCTCAGCAGATTCACATCTGCCAGTAGGGAACAGGAGGAATCCCTGTGCATTTCGATTTGACCTGATAGAGAGTGAGTGCGCTCCCAAGTGTCTGCAGAGCCCCAGATCCAAGGTGCTTCTAAACTACCCGCCAGACATCAGAAATTTCCCACCCACACATCCATGGTGGAAAACAGAGGGTTTCTTGGGGAAAAAAAAAAAAAAAAACCCGGGCTCTGTGGAGTTCCCAGTGGAGTTTAGGCAAATAACTCCTGGAGCTGAGTTAGAGATGATTACCAGTAGCCTGTAGGCCACTGGGGTACTCTGAGAATTTGCACATGTGATCATAACCAGCGCATGTGATAACTCCAGAGCCCGAGACCCCTTTGGGGACCACAAGGTATCTCTCCCTCACACTGAAGGCCTCTACATTGTCTAACACACTGTCCCTTAAGGCAAACTTCCCTGCCTACATGCGCAAGGGCATGCACACACACACAAGCATACACACACACACACACACACACACACACACACGCGCGCGCGCGCGCGCGCGCGTGCGCGCGAGCGCGCGTGCGCACTCATCTGCATTTGTCCTTCTGCGCCCAGGGACTTTCTTCCCACAGGTACAACTGAAGTACCAACGCACATGCTGAAACCATTAGATCACTCTCATCTCCCTGAAGAATTCTCCAGACAACAGAGAAAGACAGTACCAATCTGAACCACAGAATCCAAGAACAAACAGTGCAGGTTACGGTTCAGCAAATGGCCAGAAGTAGGTGAAAGAACACACTCAACAAAAATCAGGAAATCATGGCTTCACCAGCAATTCCCAAAA